AGTGGGACTCTTCATCCAGGGCAACAAAGAACGCAGCACGCTCGATGGCCTCCAGAGAAGCTTTGTTCCTGCCAGAGCTGAAGAAGGCCTGGCGTGCCTGTGCCCACTCTACCCTGGGAGCACAAGGGCAGAGGACTTTGGATCTGGGTGCCACCCAGGACCTGGCTTGGCTGGGCTGGGCTTGGGTGAGGGAGGAGCATCTGGTCCCGCCCTCCACACACTGACTGTTAGAGGTTCATGCCCACTGCTGACATCTCCAGGGCCCTCACTGTGTGGCCCTACACACCCCCAATGCCAGGGCGGCAGACAGGTCCACGCTCTTTCCTCATGAGGCCTTGAACCTAGGCCAAGGCAAACCCTCCCCACAGGCCCAGATACCTTCCCCCTGCAGTGAGGGCTGCCAGTCTCTCCTCCCCAGGCTGGGGTGGGGAGGGGTCATCCAGGATCCTCTGGAATTGCATTTCCAAGTCCCGAGGCTTGAGCAGGCGGGAGCCCTCATAGAGCCACACCTTGAAGAAGCGGCCCTTATGGTAGACGGCCACGTGCCTGCTGTCGGAGAGGTGCTGCAGCACATCTGTGACAGAGGCCGGTGGGCAGGCTGAGGCAGGTCCTTGGGGAGACTTCTCCCCATGTGAGCCCTTTCTAGGTGGCCCTTGCAGACCCTGCTTTGCCCAGCTCTATCCTGGGCCTTCCTTCCCCTTGGGGTGGATCTCCATGCTAAGCCAGGCCCTGTACTACCTCTCACAACCATCCTGTGAGATCTTCCATAGAAGAAGGAGCCAACGAGCTAGGAAATTATACAGATAGCCCCAGGAGACAGTGTCAGAAACAGGGAAGGCTACTGCCTCTGCCAAACCTGCTGCTCTCTCCTCCTCTATGGACTCTGGGGAGGGTATCTGTGCTTCTAAGCTCCACTGCTATTTACTCACACGACCACCTTCCCATGCACAGTGAAGCCCTGGAGGGGAGAAGCTCTGTTCTAGGCCCCTTGGGGTCCCAGCACCAGGATCATGCCTGCAAATGACACATGTCTGGTATCCGTCACAAACTGACCACTTTTCACAGGTTCATGATCCTGAGACACTGGAGATTCTGGTTGGTGAGCAGCAGTAGGGCACCTAGCCATGATGGGCCAGTGGTGCTTGGCTGTGGCCTAGTACCTGTTTCCTTGCCCGGGATGCGGGTGGTGTTGAACATCCTCTCCATTTGGTAGGAGCACATGGGCACCATGCCCAGTGCCATCACCTGGGAGGAAGACCCAGGATGGCTCAGACTCAGGCCTCCCCTTCCCACCCCATTCTCAATCCTGATGTAACTCACAGGCTTGATTTCTTCACGGTCCAGTTTGCGGCGATACATGATCATGGCATGGACGGCATTTCCCAGGCGGGCTGCCTGTACTTCTGTGTTCCTGACCAGCACAAGGTCCTACAGACAGAGCAGAGCCTGCAGGGTGGGGGCCTCTGTCTGGATCACCTGGGTCTCACCCCACCAAGGACCAACTTATCCAGGGCATGAGTTGCTCTCAGTCCAACGTGTAACTTACACTACCCTGCTCCAGCTACCCAGCTTCAACCAGAGCTGCATCTTTCATCTGTTGCTATTTTATTTGTTCATGTTTTGCTTTGAAGAAGGGGTTCTACCACCAAAGAGCAGCTTAAAACCTCTGGTTTGGACAGGTTGAGTATAAGTTTCTGGAAAGACAGTTTGTGGAGGAGGGGAGTTCCAATAGGCTGCCCTGTCCTGTGCACTCTGGACAGTGGGAAAGGAGAGGGCAGGGAGACCAGCTGGCTGTGCGCTAGCGACAGTCAGGACAAGTGCCAGCCATGTGGACTGAGATAGACAGTGAGTTCCTGAGCCCTGAGAAGTGAAGCCTGGCTCTCATCACCTGGCTCCACAGAATGACAGAGCAAGGTGGGTTTAGGAAGTCCCTTAGAAAGTGTCTAGGGAACTGGGGTTGGGAAGCTAGTGAGGGAACAAGAAAGGCAATGACAAAGTCTGAGTTAGGCAGGCACAGTGAGCCCAAGAGACCCTACGAGGCAGTGACAGGCTGCAGGGTCTCAGGATTCTCCTTGTCCTGGCATGGCCACTTCCCCTATATTGCCTCAGGACTCTTCTTCCAGGCTCTCCCCTCTCTCCTCCCTCTCTCTCAGATCTCACTCTACAACCCCCACTCACCCACAGGAACTTCCATTAAGTCTTTGGGCTGTCCTAAATCCCGGCCCCAGAGCCAGGGGGCTCTAGTTCTTACCATGACATAGTAGTTGCTGTTCACCATGAGGGGACTCCTGCCTCGAAGGTAGATGTACTCTTCCCACCAGTCACTCACCTGTGGGTGGATGGAGGTTACAGCAGGGGAAGGGGCAGTCAGACCTATGGGTGAGGACAATCCCAGGACAGCAGACTTACATAGTTCGTTGCCCACCATGACTTGAGTACCAGGTATTTCTGCAGCCTGGGGGCAGTCTTGTCCTGGAATTCCTTGGCCAGTGTCTCCATGCGGTAATATTCCTCATCATCCAACAAGGGCCGTACAGACTCCAAGTACTGTTCAGCCAAGTTATCATTACATGGGAGCCAGACGGTCATGGCTACCTCTGCCTTAACTCTCTTCCCACCTCTCTCTCCTCACCCCGGCCCCATTAGTCTCAAGCCCATTATTTACAGGGAATAGTTCTTTATGTTTGGGCAAGTTTTCTGAATCCAGCCTCCTGTGCCCACTGGGACCCAGGCCCTCACCCTCTGAATTGTGGCTGGTATGCTGGGGACAGGAAGTTTGGGCAGAGATGTCTGGAAGCTGTACAGCATGGGCCGCCGGCTGGACAGAAGGCGGACACAGATCTGGGGACACAGAGCACAGAGTTGGTGCGGGAGCCAGTGGAAGAACAGACACAAATCAGCAGATAAGTGAGGCCTTCAGAACTCTCCTGACCCCTTCAGGACAAACCATGCACCAGACACCAGTGCTCAGTCTGCCTCTCACCTCCTTCTCAGACCCCAAATGAGCCCCGCAGGTTCTCAAACCAAGTGCCTGAACCCGCCAATACTTCTGCTCACAGCCCAGATCTTGGTGAAGCGACTGGTCTTTCCATGCATCTCAAACATCCACCCATGGTAAGAAAGAAGCAGCTTTAGGGTTTGGCGGAATAAGAAGATGCCTGTCACCCAGACCCCAGTGGAGAAGATGGCCATGCTGAGAAGTGCCCGGGTCTGCGGGGTCTGGTAGGGGCCACACCTGTTGGAGAAGGAAGGAAGGCTGCAGAGGAGGGCTCCCTGGAGACCAGTCTTGGGACTTCTGACATGCAGTTGATGACTTGGAACTATCTCAGGGGAGGCACAGAGGGGCAAGAAACTCTCTGGGCACACATACTAAGGTATATTCATCAAATACAAACTGATGTGGGACTGAGATGATGGTGGCCCTGGGGGAGCACTGCCCCTGTGGCCAGCCATGGCTGTTGTCCTGTATCTGCCCAACTCAGGAACCCTGGCCTTGGGAGCTGGCCTGGTTTGCCCTTGACACTTTTGCCTTCTTGGCTTCTTACCTCTCAGGGAGGTAACTCTGGATACAACAGACCAGACCCATGGAGATATCCACCTTGCAATAGGAGGAACCCATTGTCGCCATGACGACAACCAGCCAGCTGGTGGGGCTGCCAGGGTACACACCCCTAAGGATGCCATTCTGTGGGGCAGAAATAGACATCCTTGTGGAGAAGAAAGACGAGGTAATCAGGCACCTGTGAAGTCCCGGGACTCGGCTCTCTGCATTGCCTCAACCACCTGTATTCTCCTTCTCAGGCCCTCACACCTGCAGCACCCATTGCTCACTGTGCCCCACCACACCTGTGTCACCACTATGGTTTCTGCACTGCTAGGGCTTGTACCCACCACACTGCTAAAGCAAAGCCATGAGAGACCCTGATCATGGGGCCTCTGCCCTGCACCTGCTGGGAGCGAGGTCCGGACCACCTGAGCCCACCTTGATGCGAATTAGGCGTTTCTTCCAGGAGTTGATTCCGGACAAGTAGATGTGCTTCAGTGCCTCCCGACTGAGCCGGAAGTCCACCCCGTCAGGGGTCACAGTGAACTGGAAGGCTACGGCCTGGTGTGCTTCCGCCATCCTGGGGGCTGGTCGGCACCTGGGAGTAGGTGGCCGGAGGGTGCGCAGCAGCTCAGGCCAGCCCCTCCCCGGGCCGCCCCCTCTCCGAGCTGAGGCCCCGCCCCACTGGCCCCCGCCCCCCTCCCCTGCCTTCCCGCCCTGCCCCCACCCCACTGGTGGCCTCGGAGGCCCGCGCCCCCCGGGCGGGCTCTCCCAGCCCCGCCAACTGCCGCGGAACCCGCGCGCACGTTCGGACTGGCCTAGCTATGAGGGTGAAGGAAGTGGGTCCGGGCCATGAAAGCGCCAGGAACCCCAAGGGCAGCGAAGGGCGGCCTTGGGCTTGGGAGAAGCGTCCTGGGAAGCGGAGTCGGCCTGGACAGAGCCGGGTTCCAGGCGCCCCCAACTCTGGACTTCAGCACCGGCTTGGTTCCCGAGCTGGGCTAGGGGCCGAGTGGGGGGCTTGGCCGCCCTTTTCTGGTCCCTACTCACAGCTCAGGTTCGGTCCTGTCAGTGTATGGGGCTGGCCACTCTGGCCCATGTCCCCTCGTCCTTCAGGCTTGGCCACCGATACCCCGCCCTTACCGGGAATCTGACACCCACTCCCAAATTGGGGTCGAGAGAATAGATGCAGGGCGGAACCAGAAACTCCCCTTCCACGGTGGGAATCAGGTGGGTAGTTCCTGCAGACTGAAGGGTGCTTGAAGATCTGGGAGCCCCAAGGGTTGGGGACAACGATGGGGGTGGGGGGAGGCAAAGAGTTTCACGTGAGGAGGATGGCATTAGAGCTAAAAATAGTTGAATGTAAGGGAAAGGTCGCTGGCTGTGTCAGCTGTGCAGCCTGTTCCCTGATCCCTTCTCAGGCTGGCTGCTCATCCCAGGGCTCTCTGTAACCTCTTCACTCCCCAGTCCTCCCTTTATTTGTTATTCTAGGCTGCAAGAGGGGAGGGTTGAGGGATAGGGTACCCCAATGGGCAGAATGGATCCTCAACCATTTTAAGCTCAGACCACTGAACAGAAAGCAGTGGTCACTTGGTCAGTCTGTGTGCATTCCTTGGCTTGGTATTTTTGCTGCAGCTAGTCAGGAACAAGATATCTTGTGAAGGAAGAAGCTCATTTATTAAGGTACACAGCCCAAGGGCTCCTGCCTGCCTGCCTTGGGGACTATTCAAATTGGAGGAGAGGTCAGCCTCCTCATACAGTTGCACTGTGGGGCACAGCCCCATCCCAGGGACTCCCGCCCTCTGCCCCTCCCTCCAAGGTCCTGCCCTGGAGGCTCCAGGAGAAACTCTGAGGAGTAGGAACTGGACAGTCAGGATGATGACTGGAAGCTGGTCAGCTGTCCCTTCTGTTGGAAGTAGAACTGGAACCGAGACTGGGCATATTCCTAGGAAAGGAAATTCACCTCTCACAATAGTGAAGAACTTAGGACCAGCACCCTCTACCATCCTTTGACCACCTGGGAATACCCAGATTTCTTAGAGGACATATGGTCCCTGGTGCACTCCAGCTCCCACCTAACATGCCCACCCCTGGATTACTTACCAAGTAACCAAATTCTATTGTAGACATGGATGCCTGGAGGATGGACCATAAACCCCAAAAGAAATGGGATGCCAGAGCATACCTGGAGGTGGGGGCAGGATAAGAAGGGGCATTTAAGAGCACGTTTGGCATCGCCTGGATCCCCTTCCCTAGGCTGGTCAGTCCCTAAACTCTAGCTTCTCCATTATTCTAATCCCTACCTCATCCTGACTCTTCCAGTTCTCAAAACTGTTCCTCCTTGCCAGCCTCAACCTCATGTTCCATATCTCTGGCCTCAATGTGCATTGGCACCTTACCTGTAATCCCCCTTTTCTTGGAGCCCTGGCCTACTCTCATGGTGCCCCTCCCTTCCTCACCGACTGACTTCTACCAGCAAATCTTCTTCCAATTTTTTCTGTTCTTCTTGGGAGAGGGTCTCGCCTTTCTTTACTTCTGCCAGGTAATGGCGAATAAAATGGAGCTGAAATCAATGGACAAGAGCCAGGAACTGGAGAGACTTAAATATTTAGCACCCTTTCTGGCCATACCCTTCCAAGACTGACTTCCCTCCTCTCTTACAGGATGAGGCCTGTTTCCCATCCTCCAGCCCACATACCTGTTGTCCCCTGGTAGGGTAGTCTGTGGGCCGTGCTTTGTAAAAAGGCCACTCCTCATGAGTATAATCATAAACCCATTCACAAAAATGGTTCCCAATGTCAAAGCCTCTGGGGAAACAAGGTAGACATTCAGTTCCCAAATGCCCTGGGCAGCTACAATGCAGAGATGAACACCTGGTCTGTTTTTCCTCCCATGCAACCAGGTGTATAGGAGCCTTCCCTTCTACCCTCACCTGTAGTTATAACTGCTGTACTCGAAATCAACCAGCATGAGACTGTCAGCATTTTCAGGCTCTGAGAGCAATAGGATGTTCCCTGGGGGAAAGGGATGGGGTTCGGGTCACATGAGGGCCCTTTGGCCCCTCTACCTTGGATTGGAAAACTTCTTCTACCTTCTTGGATGTCATTGTGGCAGAAGACCACTGGCGATGGCGTAGAATCTAGCAGCTTTCTACAAGGGTAGGAGAGGCATGGGTACTGATTAGGAATGACTAGAGTCACCCTCGTGGGCTAGGCCATGACCCTAACCCTAAGTAGACCCTGGGGAGGACTCCTAGTTTCTTGGTGCTACCTTCCTCACACCCACAGCTTGCCTGCCCTTACCTGAGGTTGGCCATCTCATCCTTCAGGCTGTACATCTCCAACAGGTTCATATTGAGGAGGCCAGTGGGAGGCAAGTCCTGGATCTGCTTTAGGTACCTGAAGCCCAAAGAATAGAATACACTCACTTTGCTGTCCTTACCCTCTCTCCCAACTGCCCTTGAAACCAGATTAAGTCATTCTATTGGCTGAGAATCTTGAGTGCCCATACTAGATACTGGAAATGCCTAATCCACTTGACTGTAGGGCTGGACAGAATTTGGTTCAGTTCAGGTGTGTGCCAGTTCAGGTAAGTCCTAAGCCTGACTTACCGTTCCATGGTCCCAAACAGCCAGTGGGGCTCCTTGGTGAACGGCATCTCCATTCCATGGAATCGGGCCATCTTCGTGGCAATGGCTGCTGATAACACTGGCTCTCGAAGCTCTCGAGTTTTCAATGGTCGGCTCTGCACCCAGGAACCTATCAGGGTGGTGAGGGGGCAGGGGCAGGAGGGGGAAGGGGTAGGGGAATGGGAGGAGGCCAAAGTCTTGGGGAAAAGACTGGGATGTGAATGCAGACACTGGGGAAGGGATAGGGACTGAGGGGAGAAGGCGATTTGGGGAGAAGTGGGCTGGGTTCATACTGGGAGGTACTGTTCCAGCCGGCCCTCTGGAAAGACTCCATAGAGCTGGGGACCCAGCGACCGCTCTGCAAGAATGGCAAACATCACGCTTTCTAGGACCAAGGAGTCTACACCCTGAAGGAAGATGGATAGTAAAGGGGCCTGTCAGGAGGACCCAAGGCAGTGGGGCCCTGGCACATACAGGAGCGTCTGCTTTCTGCGCCCACCATAGTTGGAACTATCTACTACCTGGAGGCTCTGGAGCACAAGTTCTAGTATGATAAAGTACAAATCACTGAGTCCCTGGCCTCAACGGCGTAATGGGGACGACACTACCAGCACGACTTAAGGCCGTATGGGGCCATCCTGCAGCCCTAACTCCCCCTTACCTGCAGGATGGCCCCATACAGCCGTAGCAGCACCTCCCGGGGCTCCTCGCCGACGCTGGGCAGGTGGTCCGGGAGCGAGCAGCGGAAGAGCAGGTTGCTGAGACCTCCGCTGCAGACCCACATCAGGCACCCTCAGCAGGAGAAAGTCCCTCACGGCGCGACCTAGCCCCTCCCGGCTCTGCCCCCCGCGGGCCCCGCCCCGAGCCCCGCCCCCGGGCCCCGCCCCCGCGGGCCCCGCCCCACCCAAGGCATGAGCACTCGGAGGCAGCAGAAGCGGGAAAGTCTCGAGGACTCCGAGGCTGACCCTTGACCCGGGCCCCGGCGGCGCACAGGAGGGGCTAACCCCTGACCTCCCACCTCACAGGGAAAACCCTCAGTTCTTCCGGCCTCACTCGGCGCCAGGCCCCGCCCAGGTACTCCCGGCACCATTGGTAGGCTCGGCGCTCGGCGTCACGCGACAGCGACGAGGAGCGTCGCCGGGTCGGGGCCGCGTCCGGGGATTTAGACTGCCACAAGCTGTCCTTGGCCAGGCGGCCGCCGACAGCCCCGCCTTCGGTCACAGTTGTCCCGCCTTCGGCCACAGTTGTCCCCTCCGCCGCCATGGCGCGGGCTCCGCCGGGCCCAACGCCCAGTTGCGCTCAGCTCCCTTCGGACGGATTCGGCTTCTTCCGGCCGCGCTCGACTCCGCTTCCGGCCGGTCTGCGCTTCTCCGGTCATACTCGGGCTTCTCCGGCTCGACTCGGCTCTCTCCGTGACCTCAGTTTTCCGAAGGCCCCAAATGCCGCTTGTCTTCGCTGTGCCCCTCCCCTGTGCAAGGCAAAAAGCAAAGTCTCTTTCCCTGGGTGGGGCGCTTGTCGGCACGCCCCTCTGGGCGGGGGTCGTTTGAAAGACCGGGAGCTGTGTGGACCGCGGCCCGGAACTAAGAAAGTGTATTGGCCAATCAGAAGAGTGAGCGGTGAGGCTTACGACACGTGGGCGGGGCGCGCCCTCTGCAGGATCCTGCGGGAGGCTCGGACCGGTGGAGGTGAGCCCTTGGGGCTCCCGCACAGCGTTGCTGTTCTGGGCAGTGTGGTTTAGAGTCTTAGGATGCGTGAGAGACGCACGTCTAGGTTGAGGGAAGTGGGGGTATATGGTGCGTGCAATAAACGTTTATCGTGCGAGTGAAAGAATGGGGCTGTTTAAACAGTTCCGATGACTCCTGGCAACTCAGAGTAATGAAACCTTGGCTGCCGCTTGAAGTTGTCGTCTTTGCGCCCCCTTCACTGACCAATTCTGTGATTGGTTCCAGACCTAGAATCAATTGCAGAATCAAGCTCTGGAGCAGACATCTGGGGTTTTGTAAGTTCTCCTTGGCCCACCTGGGCTGTTTGGAGTGCTCAGACTCACTTCCCAGGAGGGCATCCCATGGTAAGTGCATGTGGGTGTGGCAGTCAGGAGGTTTGACCCACTAGGATTTGTGGCAGCTAGTGTTGAACCTCGGTGCTCTTTGGGATAAAACACATGGGCAGCTAACTAACTCGAATGACCAGAAAGAAATCAAGAATGGGAAGGCAAATGTCAGCTGCTGCCGCAGAAAATCTTGATCCCTCACTCCATTTAAATCTGAGCCAGTTCTGAGACCCCCAAAGCCCATTGATTGAAAGGGAGGGTTCCCTTGAGGACAGATTCTAGAGTGCTACCATAAGTATACACAAGAAATATTTCCCCACTCCTCCCCTAAAGGTGCCTAGAGGCACTTAAATAACTAATTTGTTATGGAAAAGGGATTATCCAGAACTCCGAAGATTAGACACAGGACTTGAGCTGACGCCAGGGCACCTGAAGCATCCTGGTCTTCTGATTAGAGTAGGGGCTTATGAAAATCTCATGAAAAATGGAATTCTGCCCCAACTCCTTGTGGTAGTTTCCCTGGTCCTAATGTGTGCTTGGATGGTTATACCTAACAGTAAGCAGAGCTCATACATTGATCCCTGACTTGTGGAGTAAGAACCATGTGGCAGGAGGAGCAAAGTAGAAACTCCCCACCCTAGTGGTCCCCCCAGGGTAGTAAATCAGAAGCAACACTGCCTTCCAGGTGAATTTGTATGAATTGTGTCACTTTCCCATTTCACTCCTTCATTTCACTCTTTCATTTCACCTAGATAGTCCCTGAAAATCCAAATATATTCATGTAAATGAAGGTGGACTATCATAGACTTAGCCAAGTAGTGTTCCCAATCTCAGCAGCCATGCCTGGTGTGATGTCTTTATTGGAACCAATTAATGCACCTCTGTCATTGATAATGAAGTGACTGATATACTGAACGTTATTTTCAATTCCCAATAGTAAAGAGGATCTAAAGCAGATAACATTTATATGGGAAGGACAGCCATATGCATTATGTGGCTCCAAGGCTGTTTTAACTCTCCTGTTTTCTGTTACAACATAGTCTGTAAGGACCTTATCATCTGGACACTCCACAAGTCATAAATGACGTCATACTAGTTTGACATGGTGAAGAAGGAAGTGACACTGATGCTCATAAACATTTATGCTCTAACATTTATGCTCAGACCATAAATGTTAGAGGATATAGCCTCCAAAGTTATAGAACCTGTTGTATCTTAGTGGTACAATGTTCTAGGGGAAGCTGGGGCATTGCCTCTGAGGTAAGGAGTTATTGTATTATGCATCCCAATCAAGAAGAAAGAGGCATAGCACTTTAATGAACTTCTCTACTTGGAGCCAGAATTTACTAGGGAATATAGTAATATATTCTCTCTCTCTCTCTATATATATATAGCCCCATTTTGGGGCTAGCTTGGTAAACTGCCAGTTTTGAGTGGGGCATAGAGAAAAAGAAGTCTTTCCTGAAGATCTAGATTGGGGGATGGGCTCCCCTGCCATTTAGCAGAACCAGTGGGCTGGGTTGGGCTCATCTGTGGAAGAAAAGGCCCTAAGTGGTACCTCTAGCAAGCCTCAGTAGGAGGTTTGTAGTACACCTGGTAAAATCACTTGCCAGGTAAAAACAGCCCCTGGCATGCTACCACACCCAAGTAGAGGCTGAACACCTGATTGGGGCACCAAATGACCTTGCAACTCAGTCTGCTTGTCCTGGGATAGACATTGTCATATCTACCAAGTAATAAGAATAATTCATTCATTGTTCAATGAAAAAGGTATCCTTGGGAATGGAGCCAACCTTTTCCACGAGGGAGCAGTCATCTACAGGACAAGGTGACTGTGGTCCCACACCTCCTACCTTGTTGCACCAATGCCTGTCTATCAACAGAAAATAAAAATCAGGTCCGGTTCACAGTGGGTCATCTTGATGTATTACAAGCTGAAAATGAACTGCTGCTTGCTGTGTGGCAGTCCCATTCAGGGTGATGATAAGGGGAATCTTCTGTGAGCAGAACCTCATGCAGTGCCGTGGCTATCACTTGGTGCAGAGTGAGTAGATGGAGCTTATTTATGGAAGTTTAGGTGGAATCCTGGGTGTGACAGTGTTGGTTGGTCAGGAAAGGGCCAGAGCAGAAGACTAGAGACTGGAGGTCTGGGGAAACAGCTGGACCCAGGGAGTGGTCACAGCATGTGTGCATCTTTGTGCCTCCTCATGGCAGGGGAGTCACTGAACAAGACAGCGATACCAGCCTCTGCCTTCCTGTACTATACAGTGAGCTAGCTCATGGTTGGAGGTGCCATGGTAACAGAAATGCAGGTTTTGCCTACGAACTCGGGCTCGCTCTTATCAAGTGAGAGCATAATGATGACTCCGCTAGTTATTACTGCTGTTGACTGACCTGTTAGCAGCTGAGATCAAGCTGAGCTTCTGTTGTACTGCCATTTGTAGACAGTATCAGCTAGTCACTCTAGCAGGTTGGTTTCAGCCCACCCTTTCTATCCCATTCATCTTTTTTTTTTTTTGGAACTGGGGATTAAACTCAGGGGCACTAAGCACTGAGTCATATGTCCAGCCCTATTTTGTATTTTATTTAGAGACAGGGTCTTGCTGAGTTTCTTAGTGCTTTGCTTTTGCTGAGGCTAGCTATGAACTTGTGATCCTCCTGCCTCAGCTTCATGAGCTGCTGGGATTACAGGTGTGCAACACTGTTCCTGGCTGATTTATCCTCATTGGAACTGAAAACTACTCTGAGTGTGGATTTGCCTTCCCTATCCACAGTGTCTCAGGCAACATCACTATCCAGGAGTTAGAGAATGCTTAGTTTACCAGCGTGGGATCATGTATAACATTGCCTCAGGCCAAAAAACTCTCTTACAGTGAAAGGGATGTGGCAATATGTGGAATGCCATGGATCCACCGCTTCTCTGAGGTCCTGCATTACCCACAAGAAGCTAGTCTAATGGAAAGATAGAATGACCTCTTTTTTTAATATTTATTTTTAAATTTTAGGTGGACACAATATCTTTGTTTTACATTTATGTGGTGCTGAGGATCAAACCCAGTGCCTTGTGCATGCTAGCCAAGCACTCTACCACCAGCCATAACCCCAGCCCTAGAATGACCTCTAAAGGCTGAGCTAAGGTCTTGGCTTTGGGACAGTATCCTGAGAAGTTGGGGTATGTGCACTGAATCAAAACCCCATATGTGATGCTGATCCACTAAGAGTCAGCAGGTGAGGATTGGGGAGCAAAAACACACGTCCACGAACCTAGAGGCTGGAATTAACTATTTCTCACCATCGTCTAGCAACTCACATGTAAAACATGCTCTGTCTCCACAGCCTTAGGATCCACTGGAGTTGGGCTGTTTGCATGAGGGGATCCCACTGATGGGCAGGGAAGGATGCTGGACCTGAATCTGCAGACACAACTATATCATTCTGAGCTCTTGCTGGTGGACTTGCAGGCAAAAGAGGAAGGGATAACAGACCCAGGCTGTTAGGAGGCTGTTGAGTGTTACCACACAACTGGCACTTAGAGGAGTTGTGCATTGGAGTACTTCCATGAGAGGTACTAGTGCAGCAAACACTGCCAACAGCAGGGGCTCATACCCCTCAGGGGGGAAGGCCTGGGTACCTCATTAGGCAGGCTGTGGTACCCAGCTGGTGAGGCAGGGGAGGGTCATGATGAATGTTGCTTACATCCCTGGGTGCCTCAGCAGCAGTGGCAACTCTACTTGCTGTATTTCTTGCACCAATTCTCTTGTAGAGGTGGTGACCAGCCTTCCCATTGAAGGACCTCATTCCACCTTAAATTGCTGTGGACCCACAGAGCTGCCTCTAAGGCACCTGCCACGTATCTGTGTTTTTGTACTTCCTGCCCCAGGAGCTCTCTGGTACAGCAGGAGCCTGCAGGGTCTGCTTACCAGCACTGTTCCCAACAGCCGAGACAAGAAATCAACCCCAGTGTCCATCCAGGGACTAATGGATAAAGGAAGTGTGATATATGATGGAATTTTACTCAGCCACAAAAAGAAGGGAATCTTTCAATTAAAAAAATTTTTTAGTTGTAGATGGACACAATACCTTTATTTTATTTATTTATTTTTATGTGGAGCTAAGGATCAAACTCAGTGCCTCACACTTTCTAGGCAAGTGTTCTACCAGTGAGCCACCATTCCAGTCCCAAATCTTTCAATTTTTAACAACATGAATGAACCTAGAAAACATACTAAGTGAATAAGCCAGACACAGAAAGACAAATGCTGTATGATGTCACTTACATAAGGAATAGAAGCATCAGAGAGAGCAGTGTAACCTGGCTTGGAGGTAGGAGAAATGGGGAGATGTTGGTCAAAGGGTGCAAACTTTGAGTTATAAGATAAGCAGGTTCTGGGCACCTGAAG